CAGTAGGACACATCTTTTGTCTAAAGCCCGTACTGCGAACTCCAGGTCTGCAACTTCTTGAAAGCCCTAGATCTCACGACCCTAACAAAAATCATATCTGCCGTGTCTTGCCTAAACCTATAGGTTTGTCTAACACCCCCTCCCAAACAAAACCATATCTACCATGTCTTGCGCTCCAAAAGAGAGGAGAGATGCTCTCAAAGTATTTCAAAGTCTTCCTCAAGCAGAATGAAAGATCATGAAAGTGCCGTAAACCCGTCCCCCATCTTCTGTATGCTTTCAGTAGGATCCCCAAACAGCACCTAGACATAAACTGTTGAGGTCTTAACTGAGTCTTAACCCAGCACGAACTTAGGTCTCAATGGTGGATGTGTAGGTATTTGTCACAGTCACACGAGAATCCCAACCCCAGTGGCAGGAGGTCCTTGCGTACTGGACCTTCATTGGCATACCCTAAACCCTAAACCCTAAAGCGCCGTGGACCTTCATTGGCATACCCTAAACGCTAAACCCTAAACCGCCGCCGGCCCTTAAGGGGCGAACAACGGAGGATCGCACAGCTATCAGACAGGCCAGCTTCTGCTGGCGGTTCGTTGCCAGAAACGCCGCAGAGGTGATCTGAAGCTATGCGCTGTGCAGCGGCGAGAAGAACAGGGAGGACTTCTGGAGTTTTGGAGGGTTTAGGGTTTAGGGTTTAGGAAACCCTAAACCCTAAACCCTAAAACCCAAAGCTTTAAACCCTTGAGGAACCCGTATGACGAGGACAAGTTCAAAGGGTATGCTTGTTATTTTTGCTTGGCTTTCCTACTGGTGTGTGTTGCTACTCTCCTTCTCAGGAGCCTATAGGACTCCTGTCTCCTACCTCCTACGTCAAGATTTACTGGGATTTAGGATATACCCATAGGCCCCATAGTGGTTCCTTTTTGGGATTACCAAATAGGATCCTAAATACAAGCCAGAAAAAAGGAACTACTTTGAGGCCTATGGGTAGGCTGAGGATGGTTTGGAGATATGGGGTCAGGGTTTAGGGTTTAGGGGTTTTGAGGGGCGCACAGCGGTTCTTGACACAGCTGTTGAGGTGGTTAGCAGCTTACAGTTGCGCGGACCCTGTGTCAGTAGTGCGAGCTTTCGCCCGTTGTTAAGGCTGCGAACAGCCCCAGAACCAGAAAGCAACCCAACAACTCTTAAGGCGCTGGAAAAGCTACACTAGTTTCGAGCAACTCAGACGTGGGCAGCGCCTTCGTTGCATTGCTGTAATTCTAGCATAGACGCCTGAATCATTGGAATGATTGCTTATATTATATCTTACGATTCCTGCTAATGTAGTTTGATGTACACCACAAACCCCTATTCACTCATACTATAGAAGGCTAACTAATTGCCTAGATCATTCTTGTGGCTCCTTATCATGATTATGGTATAATATACCCCCCCAAAGCCCTATTCTAATTGTTCAGGCCCCTACACTACCGGGACCCGATACTTTAAAGGAGCCCCAAACCCTATTCTAAACCCTTATAGTGGCCCTTTAAGGAACCCTTTAGAGGAGCCCAAACCCCAATTCGAATTATCCAGGCCCCTACACCTAAACCCTAAACCCTAAACCCTAAACCCTAAACCCTAAGCCCTAAGCCCTAAACCCTAAACCTAAACCATTACCCGATCAGGTGTCGGGGGCTTGGAGACGGATTGCCCGGCCGGGCTCTCGATTCCCAGGGTTTGAACACACTCAGGAGAGTTTAGGGCAAGTTTAGGGTTGCATCAAGCATTGTTGGATTACCCTATGACCCTCCAAGAACTCATATTTTAATACTTTTGGGCCCAAAGGTCTTATTATATGAGGTTTTTGGGCTATTTTGATGCTAAGTTATGGTTTGTAGGGATGCAATTGGGGTATATGTGAGCCTCACTACGTTAGAACCCTGATAGCAGGCACCCCGCCTGTTTTGATCCTACACCCCTCCGTTCAAACATCTGTTCTATGGAATCCGGGATTCTGTGCGCTAGCGCTAGGTTTGTAACACTAGGATCAGGGCTTGCAGGTAGCACGAGTAGGGTTTAGGGTTTAGGGTTTAGGGTTTATAGGGTTTAGGGTTTAGGGTTTAGGGTTTAGGCTTCAGAGTGATGGGGCTAAGGAGGTTGAAGTCCCATTGTCGAAAGCGTTCGTGAAGGATATCCTGTGCCTCCAATTGCTGTTGTCTGTTAGCCACTGTCATCACTCTGCCTCATGTTGAACATCAAACAGGCATGTCCTCAAGGTTATGGAGGAAAAGACTATTGCGCTCATATTGATGCGTCCCTTGGGCCGGCTGCTGCTGAATATAGAAGCCGTAAGACTTAACAAAAATACTATTCTTCAGTATTACCTAGTATCCATATCATACTATACATACATATATATATATATACCATAAAGGAGCCCAGACCTTTGTTCGAATTTTTCAGGCCCCTACATTAACCTCGTCGTCGCCAGTCCGTAGTTCGTTCATTCCTTCATTCCGTGGTTCATTCGTTCATGCGTTCATTCATACATTCATTCGTTGATATCTGAGACATACAAATCGTATCTAAGAATTTATATCTTGGTTCGTACTGAACCAAGAATTCTGAGTACGTATGTTTAGGGAATAGCCCCAAGTTATCCGACATGCCGAACTTCCGAACCTGCTCGGGGGAAACCCTGGACCTAACACCCAATCCTGGACCATAGACGCTCAACCCTCACGTTGTGCCCCGGCTTCAAGCCCTACACCCCAAACCCTAAACCCGAAGGGTTTAGGGTTTAGCACAAGTCCTGATGCAAAAAAAGGGTTTAGAGTAAACCCTATCCATGCTCAGGTTACAAGCAACCGTCTTTCGTCTGGCAATCTTCCAGGCCGACACATCCGAAGTTCCAATTGCAAGGCTTTGGCCTTGACGGAGTCTATTTACGTTTATGTAAAGTTGTGCAAGTCAAGTCTTGTGTTTGCAGTGACTGGATCTGTGATATTTTGTGATGGGTTGTTAAAGCTTCAGGATCCAGACCTTCAGGACTGAGCCCCCCATTCAAGTTGCACGGTCTGTCGGAAGTGCACAACGCTAAGAACCGAAACAGCAGCAACGTGAACTGCGTAGCACGAGTTTTCATGAACATAACTGTTCAGAATCGTCAGGTCATCACCGCCACCGCCACCGCCACCACCACTAGTAGCACAAAAGCAGTTCCAAGAATTATACAAAAGCAGCAGGTTTCAGCGTCAGGCGCAGAGTACAAGAGACGAAGCAGACTGTGAGCACTTGCCAGACGTGCATGCGCATTCCAGCGAACCGGCTGTAGTACAGCATTTTCCCCAGATTTGCAATCGGATGGTGTGATTAGGCGCGCTGTCGAGTGCTTTTTGGGTTCAAGCTTCGCAGCACAAAGGCGGCCGCCGGTCATGGTTGTGTGTGCATATTTTGCTCCTGCAGATATCTTCTCCGATGCAGGAGGTATGTATGAAGAAGATGAACAAGATTATAAGCAGGATCTCAAGCATGTCTTACAAGCCATCAGCATTGCAGCGCATTTTCCTGTCAACCTACTACGTTCTACTTGCTGAACAGAGCTTTATCCGACTTCGAAGCCGCCAACTGCATAATAGTTATTGACACGCAAATCCAGCGCCTGAATCGGAAGTCTGCGGCCACAAGTGCCGCGACCGCGACAGGAAGGCCAGAGCGACTTGCTCAGCAGTTGGCATCTAAGCTTGCTGTAGAGCCGTGTCGAACACATGGCTGACAAGGGGGTGGACTTCGATCCATTCAACAGTACAGGCCTTTCAACAATCCCGAGGACCGAAAAGCATACCAAGCTCAAAGCCCTGAGGAGCGTCAATCTTTCGATATCGAGGTAGCATCGCAGCTTCTTCTTCCTTAGATGGGTCTCACGGTTTAGAGCTCAGTTTCGTTATGGCTTTTCGGGGTGAGTCTTTGCTTGGCTGCTCGTTTGCACATGTGTGGCGGTATGAGCTGCGGCATATGTGCGCAACACGACTTGACAGCTGGCACAGAGCACTCGATTCGGACTGCCATTGACAGAAGAATCAGCATGCAGAGGGGCCTGTATATGTATATATATATATATATATATGTACATGTGATCACCAACGAAGCTGTCCTCCATGGAAAGCCGGAGACTGATCAGCTCCCTGCACCGCTGAGTGGTGCGTCTCGTAACAAGCACCCACAACCCTCGCCATGTGCTGAGACGGTGAGGATGTATACGTGCTGTTGACATATTCTACAGGTCGTCCCATGCAGGTAGGCGCGTGTGCAGCTGATGTGCGAGTTAACACAAAAGTTTCGAAACTGATTCCATGAAGCGATGATCCAGACCTGCTCCTTCTATTTGCGTTTTTCTTGGCTGACTGGACTACAAGTGTCACTGTAGCCCTAAACCCGAAAAAGTGGCTACAAGGGATGATCATTGCGGCCTTCAGAAGCTCTGGGAGCCCATGAAGTCATATGGGTAGTTCTCTAAATTTGGGTCCCTTTGGGGGGTCCTTTTTATAAGGGTGCCGTTCTATATTTGGGACCTATAAGAAGGAACCCTAATTTAGAGAGCTACCCATATACCAGAAGACATGGAATGGCTCTTCCCCGGTGGAAACTAATGTACCAGAGACGTAAGCAAGCAAGCAAGCAGGCAAGCAAAAGTGTGCACGTGTGTGTGTGTGTGTGTGTGTGTGTGTGTGTGTGTGTGGGTGGGTGCTTGCGCGCGCGTGCACATGGTGGTGGTGTGTTTGCTCGTGCGTGCCTGCGCTTTGCTTTTGCTTTGTTTCTTATCAGTAATACTGTTGCGTACCGTTGCTTAGCAAGACATATATGTTTGTACCCGAAAACCCTGGACCAACTATACTTCAGGCCCCTGAATTGATTTCATGCTTTTCCTGACGAGCTTGCCAAGGCGCCACTCGAAGTCAAGACCCTAAACCCTAAACCCTGAACCTTAAGCCCCAAATCCTAAACCGTGGCTCTAAGAAATGGACGACGATGGTTTGGTGCTCTACGCGGTCTTCGAAGAAGACGAGGCACGAATCCCGTCAGACCCAGAACTGCGAACGCCGTTACTTCTGGGTTTAGGGTTTAGGGTTTAGGGTTTAGGGTTTAGGGTCAAATGGGAGTTTCCGAAAATAAGGGGGTACCTGATTTTGGGCTCCTTATAATAAGGATCCTACAATTTAGGGTACCTATATATTTGGGTCCATTAATTTTCGGGAAGCCCCCCAAAATGGGTCACAGTGGAAGCACTGAAACCGATAAGACTCCCAAAGCCTAAAACCGCAAGTCCAAGCCGTTGCGGCCCCAACCCTCGCGATTTTCAATCCCTAAACCCTATAAACCCTAAACCCCTAAACCCTAAACCCCTAAACCCTAAACCCCTAAACCCTAAACCCCCCAAAAAAAACCTAAACAGAGCAGGCTGAGCTCCGTGCAGCCCATGCTGAAGGCTAGGCCGCGACATGAGCTTCGGTTTAGGGCCATTTAGGGCCGCTTGGTTCGTTTAGGGTTTAGGGCTGGGGGTTTGGGGTTGAGGGCTTAGTAACGGTTTAGGGTTTAGGGTTTAGGGTTTAGGGTTTAGGGTCAACTTAGGGTTTGGGTTCAGGAGTTGAAGGCTAGGGTTAATGTGTGTAACGTTTGTTCTGCAGTTCTGGGGCAATGCTGTGGGTTGAGGCGCTGGGTTCTGCGTCAACCCCCGAAGCTATGGGTCTCCCGAACCCCCAGAGACTCCAATAGCCTTTAGTTAAGGAATATTCCTTCAGTTATAGTGGGATCCTCAATATGATATAAGATACGTTCCTTAACTAAGGGATATTGGAGTCTCTGAGCCCGA